TCTATGGTTTTCCCTTGTATGGCCGTGGCCCCGCCCCCAGTGTGCCTGCCGTGCCTACGCACAGGACGCCGGCCGGGAGTCCCCTGCTCCCGGCCAGCGTTACACTTGGCAACCCTAGGAGAGTCCTTGAGAGAGGGGGGGAAAGGCCTGTGGCCAGATCGGATCAGTGTTGCCAGGGGATCTGAAGGTGCTGGGAACAGGTGAGCATCCTGCGACTATTGCAAATGACCCCAAAAAGGGAATTCTGGATATCACTCGAAAAAGTGCCTTGAAACTGGGAAGCAACCCCCTCCCATTTTCCTTGGAAAGAAATCTCTGTCCAGCGCATTCTTCTGGAATTATTTTCACATCCCATCTGCCCACATCTGGAAGCCAAGTACAGTTGTATTGCGATTTGCGAAAAATGTAAAATGTAAACAGGGAAGCGGAAATTTAGATGAGATTTAAACACGACTCCTGATTTCACTCAGTTCCCCCCTAAACACAACGGGCAGATTTATGTCAGCACGGGCTTCAGAGAACAAAACCTTCTGCAGTCGGCTCAGAAAGTCCCTTTGAGATGGACCGCCAGATCCTAAACACTTGCAGAGAGTCACACAACGCAAAATACTTCGGAGAAGTCAGCGTGTGTCGAAAATGGACACATTTTCACAGGAGAGCAGAAACGGGCCTTTAGAACTTTACGGGGAAAACACAGAAAAGGAACCCTCTAGAACAGGCCTCCCCAACAAGGGTGCCTTGCCAAGCTTTTCAGAAAGTGGTCAGGGCCATTATAAGGAAGGGCTTCTTCCTATTGGCTACCTTCATGGAAACGAAAGCATTTTCCACTGGAGAATCAGGGGGACTGGTAAACACTTGGGTTCTACTTAGGCAGTATAAAAGTATATCATTTTTTTAAAGTTCCCACAGAACTCCTCGTTGTCGATTTACTTCCGCCTCTCCTCGGGAGTGACCAATGGGAGCTGACAGAATGTTGGTGAGCTGACAGTTGGAAAATGGCAGTTAGGATAGTTGAGAGTTGGCAGTTAGGGAGCTAGATAGGAAAGAGCGCATCTGACTGAGTGAAGCTGAGGCGAAGAGCAGCTTAGCGCTCAATGGAAAGAAAAGCCAATTTGTGAAAAAAGATCCCAAGTGCTGGAATAGGGAAACAGTGTAAAAGTTCAAGGGAAAAGAAACTTGTAACCTCAACCTTACTTTCCTCAATGTTACATTCAAACCATAAATAAAAGTTAACTCCTTGTTTGTTTAATCCTGTGGGCTGCATGTCTCAGGGAAAGAAACACACAGCCACACCCCAGTGAAGATCTCCACCTATATATGTTTTAGGATATGAATAAACGGAGGCAGTGTGTGAATGGAATAGTGTGTGAGTCCCCGACACCAATAACTCTGTGTGGTGTCTGAGTGAAGGCTGATTGCTTTGAAGGGGACTGGGTCACCTTGTCTGCTGATGTCTCCGAGAGAGAGAGAAAGAGGATCTGAGAGGTGAAATGGTCATGGCTCTCTACAGATTTTAAAAGAGGCAAGAAGGGTAGTGATGTGTGATGGCATGGCCCCCAAACCTGTGGGAGAGTTGTGCGCCCGCCCCCCTTGCCACTGGCTGATCTGCCGTTCGGGCAGCCTATGTTACTTTTCCAAGGCCGTGAACTGTCTTCTCCAGAAACTTGCAATCCCTTCTGAGAAATCTGAATAACTGATATAGACCTGAGACATCACAGAAAACCTTGGCTCCAGTACCCTGAAATGACAAAAGGCCTGGTATGCCTTGTGTCAGGTGCAAAGGGGAAACTTTGGATGTCTTTACATCAAGGGCTTTCGAACTGAATACTGAAATACGGGGCAAGGAGCCACTGAGTCCTTTGCTAGAAGGAAGAAGATGACTCTAACGGTTTGTAAGGCAGGACACAATTCCTTGTGGGAGGCATTGAACACATGGACATAAGAGCTCCTGACTTCAATTTTTCGAAGAAACTTCAGCAGCACTAACTTTTTTCCTCAGTGGCATGAGAACATTTTCCATCTTCCCTGGCGTAATATGGGGGCACTGCCCATGTTGGTTTTGGACAGACGAATGCTACCAAGGGCCCAGCCCTACTCATGTGCCGTTGGGATGATTCAGCGTGGGACAGACATACAAAAAATTTTCCGACTTGCTCCCAGCCCTTACAGAGGAATTTTAACCACCACCCCCCTCCATTAAAGAGAGACATTCTCCCCTCTACAGCCACACAGTTCCTGGTTTGTTTAGCACCAGTCTACGAATGCAGCTCAGGAACGGCCTGGTGACTCACAGAGTGTCTCCAGGCCAGCACAGTGACAAGAAGTTCTGTGCAAAACTGGGTGTGGATGGACACAGGTAAGAATTTAGGGAGTGAACACACAAAAGAAGGCTTTTCTTTTAGGTGTCTGCACCAATTAGAACTATTTTTTCCATTAATCTTAAGGGTCACATGAAGCTGCCTTATTCTGCACTGGACATCAGTCCATCAAGGTCACTATGGTCTACTCAGACTGGCAGCGGCTCTGTAGGGTATCACCTACGGCCTTGTCCTTTTAACTGGAGATGCCAGGGACTGAACCTGGGACCTTCTCCATGTAAAGCAGAGGCTCCTCTACTGAGCCACAGGCTCCTCCCTATGGGTCTGACGACCCGTCCTAAACTTTACACTTTGTTCTTCGGAAAAAAAATTAAACCTTAGCCAAAGGCTGCTTTGACCTTCACATTAAATAGCAGACTTTTGCTTTTCAAGATTTATCTGCAGAACGTGCCAGTGTTGTTGATAACGAAGGTTAGAGACTTTAAGGAGACCCCTTTTCTCAAGCAGACATTTTCCTCTGGCACTGAAGAGGAGCTCTCTCTCACACACACACCCCGTCATTTTCCCGGTCAGCATTTATATTGTGCTTTTTGAAGGGTCAGACTGTGTTAGACTGTTGCAGTAAAGGCTTCCTTGGCACCTTAAAAGACTCACAGATTTATCAGAGCGGATTTATCATTGCTGTCGAATCCACGTGTCTTTACGCATCTGACAAGGTAGGCCCAAAACATATACCACAAGAAATCTGCTTATCTCTCCGGCACCACAAGTCTCTTGACTGAAATGTTAGTAACCTTTTGCTATAATATTCAGCAGTTCAGGTAGTAACGAGCACATGTTACAAAGGGTGTATGGTCAATGCACATGTACAGCACTGGTGAGGGAGCAGAAGAGACGATGGGGCTGTACCAGAAACGACACAACAGGAGTGATCTTTTAGCACCCACTGGCAGCATGTGCTTGCCTTGGCCTCCATGGGGCAAGCTCCTGTTACCCTGCTCCTAGATAAGCATAAAGAGTGAGCGACCTAAACAGAGCTTGGTAGGGGCTCACGCAAGCTCAAACACTGCCTCCGCATCTCTCTCTCTCTCTCTCTCTCCCCCCCACATCTCCATCTCTCTTTCTGGCACAGCTCGGACATCTTCCGTGGATACTAAGAGCTGCACAACAAAAAGAGAACATTCCCATTGAACTGTGCAGTATTTTTGTTTTACCTTTTCTCCTCTCGGTCCACGGAGTCCAGGGATACCTAGCGGCCCCCTTTCTCCATTGGCTCCCTGCGTGAGAAGGAACATATTGCACTTAGAAACATTTTACACATTAGGCTCTGCTATCCATCTGACTGACCAACTGGCTTCTTTGCCCTGGTACAGCTGCCAAATATACCAGGGCAGGCCCAACTCATTAAAGAGCAATGCTTTTCTTATCCAATGGCTACCCTGGCGGCAGTATTGTGTTTGTCCTTAATGGAGAATGCCGTTATAGAACCCTGGAGCTGGACCTTCTAGGCCGTCCCTTCCAACTCCATGCTCAAGGCAGAGGAAACTTAAAGCAAGGACATCCCTTGGCTGCGCTGTCCAGCCTCTGCAAGTGATCTAACAGTAACCTCTTCTCTCCCGGTAAGCAAAGCACTTTTCCTTGGGTCTGTTTGAGGACACATATCCACACTGGGAAGATCACAGAACCACATGGTCATAAGGTGTTTTCTAGGGTTTCTATCCTGTCACTTTGTTATTTCTCTAGTACTGCTCTAGAAGGATACCTTCTAAGCAGGTCAGTCACTGGCAGGGGTGTCAAACATAAGGCCCGGGGGCCAGAACTGGCCCGTCCAGGGCTCTTATGTGGCCCATGAGCAGCTGGTGCAAGGGAGCAAACAGAAGACGGCTTGGGGAGGGGAGTGGGTGGAGCCACTCCGACTGTGGCTTCATCATGGCAGAATGTCATCTGCAGGAGTCAAGCAGTGTAGGAGCGTCTGCCCAGTGCTGCACTGCTAGCTCTCCAGTCTGCCCATGTAGGTTTTCCTCTGCCCCCCTCCCAGCCCATGGGGTCTTGCAGTGAGGATACACCAACGCAGAGCTTATGAGCGGCTGCCCTTTATTTACAGTTTGTATCTCTGGTTCATGGCATTATGTTTTATGGCACACATGAACCCGGCCCAACAAAGTGACATTTACGACAGATCCAGCCCTCGTAACAAATGAGTTCGGCACCCCTAGTCCAGAGGTTCTCAAGAGATCCTTGAGAGGTGGTGGATGGATACCAAGGTACTTTCCAGGGAACGTTTGGTCTAAGGGAGTTTGCCAGCAAGGAAAGACAACATTTCCCTCTTCCTTCCATAACCTATCCGGAGATATTGCGATGGTGGTGGTGGTGGGATCTCCTCTTGTAGGGGAGGATTGTGTCTGCATCACAGTTTCCTGTGGGCAAACTGTTCTGCACATGCACAATCTTCAATTCCTTGCATCCGCCATGTGGGCAGGTATGAAACAGCCATGGGCCACGCACAGGAGTCACCCGGCCAGTGAGTCTCATGCGTGCCAAAGGGCAACCTTTGAAATGGAAAAGGAAGTGTGCCTGGAAGCGTCCATATTCCCATTTGGCCTTCTGCACATTTGCTTAGAAGAAAGAAGAAGAAGAAGAGGAGGAGGAGATTGGATATATACCCCGCCCTTCACTCAGAGTGGCTTACGATCACCTTTCCCTCCCCCTCCCCACAACAGACACCCTGTGAGGTAGGTGGGGCTGAGAGAGCTCTTTCTAGAACTGCTCTTTCAAGGACATCTCTTGTCAAAACTATGGCTTGCCCAAGGTCATCCAGCAGCTGCAAGTGGAGGAGTGGAGAATCAAACACGGGTCCGCGCACTTAACTGCTACACCAAACTGGCCCTCTACACCAAACTGGCTCTACTGACCATGGCAGGACTTGCACTGGAATAAACAAAGCCCTTCCCTACAGCACATTAGTGGCGGTCGCATCCGCCCACCCACAGTTCTCTAAATGGATGGGCCCACTCAGGCTCCGCTCAGCTTCCTAAGGTTTAAGCAAATCCAGTTCCTTCCTTGCTCATTTCTCTGGCAAGCTGAACCACCGAAGAACACAGTTGCCTTACCCTCTCTCCAGTGGGGCCATCTGGGCCAGGATTTCCCTATAAGAAAAAGAAAGAAACATTGAAAGTTTCCCCCCCAGCATTCTGCTCTGGCGATTCAGTCTCAACGAAGGTTTCAATGCCCACCTCGTCTCCCAACTCTCCTTTCTCTCCAGGGCCTCCAGCAGCTCCCGGCTGACCCTGCACAGGAGAAAAGGAACATTTTTTTTAAAAAAAACAAAG